CACCGCCTTCACCACTGTCCCCACCACCACTGTACCCTCCACTGTCCTACTGTTTCCACCACATTCCCACTGTCCCCACACCACTGTCCCCACCACCACCGTCCCCACCACTGTCCCACTGTCCCCACTGTTCCCACCATTGTCCTCACCATTGTCCCCACCACTACCGTCCCCACCACTGTCCCACTGTCCCCACCACTGTCCCGCTGTCCCCTCACCACTGTCCCCACCACCACCGTCCCCACCACTGTCCGCACCCCCCCTCGGTTTTCGAGGGGGGGGGGGGGGGTCGAACCGGTAGTGACCCCCCCCGGTTTTCGAGCTCGAAGGGGGGGGGGGGGGTTCGAACCGGTAGTGACCCCCCCCCCTTTCATGATGAACTGGGGGGGGGGGGGGGGGAGGGGTTCTTCAAACCGGTGGTGACCCCCCCCGGTTTTCCGGAGGGGGGGGGGGGGGGGGGAGGGGTTCGAACCGGTAGTGACCTCCCCCGGTTTTCCGCTAGCAGCGGTAGAACACGCTCTTTCATATATATATATATATATATGTATCGCTCGTAATCGGAACCGTCCACACGGGGGTCCACTGGAACCTTCCCGGGCATCCCGATGAGCTCAGCAAGGGCAAACGCCGCCCTCTGCGATACATATATATATATATATGTATATGTTTGTATGCTTATGTCTGTGCGTATAAGCTGTGTATATATATATATAGGGAGAGAGAGAGATAGAGAGAGAGAGAGAGAGCGAGAGAGGGAGAGACAACAAGAGAGAGAGAGAGATATACAACAAACACAAAGCGAGAGAGAGAGGAACATAGAACCACTAGGCTGGAATATAACATATATTCGAGTTAAACTAGGGAGGTAAGAAGGCCGATTGAAGCACTTGCGAACAGTACCGAAATCCACTGATCATGGTTATCTCTGGTGTAATATGTTGCCCGGAGGGCCTCCTCATAATACTCCATCTCCATCGCCGCCCTGCCGGCCCTGAAGTAGCCCTTGGACCAGCCCCGCTTCTCCTTGATGGCCTTAGTGGCCTCCACGAGCGCTTCTGTGTACTTGCCGAGCTGGAACAGGCAGGCGGAGCGATTACTGAAGACCTTCTCCTTCTCGCTTGCGTCGCCGAGTAGCGCGCCCGAGTAGTACTCCAACGCCTGCTCGTACTCCTACCGGGCGACGCCCAGAAGACGGGCAAGCCCAAGACTTGGGGCTCCGACGGGCCCCGCCAGGCGCGCAGTCCAGCACAAGGAGCCTGCCTCACCAGATCGCCCATGAGCACAGCAGCAGAGGGACCCTTGAAGCCGAGGACATGTGAAGCTTGACAGGTTGTCAACCCCTTCTGCAACCACGTGGGCCTGCTCTTAGGAAACTCGCGTGGGCCCAATCGACTTTCTTCGAGAAATGCCGTGGGTGTACACGTCGCGAGGATGTCGTCGTTGGCTTCTGACACCGCGCGGATCTTTCAGCTTTAGGAGACTGCGGCTTTCCGACAGCGCAGATCGATCGGTGTCAGCCGAACTGGGCCACTGGCGTCTTCTCCCACTTCTAAGCTTCGGGAGGTGCCCAAGAGGTCCGGCAGGTCCGCGGAGCGGGTTGCGGAGGATGGGGACGGGGGAAGAGGGGGAAAAGACAGGATGAGATAGGTGAACCAGGAGGACCCGGAAGGTATTCCAAGATACCAGTATGTCCGTCGGGCTTTCGGGAAGCAATTTTGTGCTTGAGGGCACATGTCGGCGGGTTGTTGATTCTGACTTGATGTGCTTGCTAAATGCCAGGGTCGGCCGCCCTGGGAAAGTAGTCATTACTCTACTTGTGTCCCTGTGGGCGACCAGGAGGCCAGGTAGACTGGTCCTCCTGGATGGCTGGATACTATTTTCTATGTACCATATCATCCGCAAGGCTTGAGCGCGCGCTGGAACCTGCACACACACCATCCCGAGAAGCATGCCCTTGCTCGCGGCGGATGGGGCCAACTGTACCAGGCCCGAACCTGAACGGTGTTTTTCGTTTTCGTCCTGCTTTCGTTTTCCCTCGCTTTCGTCTCCAATCCACCGCTACCGCAACAACGAAGCCGAAACGAAGACGGCCCACGACATCGCCCAAAAGCACCGTTTCGGTCCGGCCCCGAAATCTGCGCTGGCACCGCTCCCGGCCAAGCGCGCTTCGGGCCCGGGAGCTTTGCGTGCGCCCCTCTGGCCTTGGCCACTGCAAGAGAAAAAAACACACGGGTGCAGCCGGCGCCCTCCTCCTCCTCCTCCTCCTCCCCTCCTCCTCCTCCTCCTCCTTCCTCCTCCTCCTCCTCCCTCCCCTCCCCCTCCCCCTCCCCCATCCCCTCCCCCTCATGGTCCTTCCTCCTCCTCCTCCTCCTCCTCCTCCTCCTCCTCCTCCTCCTCCTCCCTGCCCCCAGGTTCTCGGCAGTCCTTCCGTGCGAACGCAGCGTTGCCAAGCTCCTTGGACTTCAGCGCCGCGACCGTGATCATCTCCGCGGAGTAGTCCTGGAGCTTGGCCTCCTTGATCAGCTCCTCGACCCTGCCCTCCCGCCCCAGCCTGGTGATCCTCTTCAGCTGGTCGTCGATGGACTCCTTCTGCTCGTCCTCGCTGTCGCTGGTGCTGCTCTCGCCGCTCATGGGTCCACACCAAATAGGTCACTCTTACGCGAAGCCGAGGCGGAGAGGTTGGGGCGGACCGAAAGGGGGAGGTTTGTAAAAAGGAGGGTTCGCGAATCGGACCAAGCAACTGGCTTTCCCACCAACTGCCGTCGCCAGAGGCGCCCCTGTCTCGAGGAAAGCGCCAGGCGGCAGGCAGGAACCCGGCTGCACGCAGCAGATGTCGTACCCCCCCCCCTGCCCTATCCTCCCCACCCTGCCCTCAGATCTGACCTTGCGAGCAAAACAGCATCGCGAACAATCGGGATCGGAGCCCTAGACCCTATCTTTCTACTGCATTTGTCAAGCCGCATCGATCTGTGGTGGCCCCGGGGCCCGACTCCAGGCGAACACACCCTTGTGCGAAAAGAATCGCAACGCCCGGATCTGAGGGCAGATTTCGTACCCCCTGTTTCCATGTTGGGATCGGCACCGGGGCTGCTGAGGGGATGGGGAGGCGATCCGTGGATGATCTGCCCGAACCTGGCTTAGAAGTGGGTTCGAGCCATACCCCAAACCGCCCAAGAGGGGGTTGACGATTTGGGCGAACTGGGCTGAACCCACTGAGCAAAGTTATCCAGACCCCCAAAGCCTCTGGGGGCATGTGCAACCCACTCATGGGCTAGGCATGACAAAATATAACCCACCTTGGCACCCGCTGATGACACCCCCGACTGTAGAAGCTCGACCACCCCTACTGTAGAAGCTCGACCACAAGAAACCTTCCACAAGAAACCCAACCCTGAGACCCCAGGACGTCCATTGATTCTTGGTGTGGGAGTGTCACGCTCCCCATAGAAACACCATCCAAACCCAAGAGGCCCAGGGCACCCTGGAGGCAAGCAGGGTGGTTCTTGGCATGGGTTCCCACTGTCTCCCCTCAGCAACCCCGACGCCGGTCTCCCTATCCTCAAGTCGGGCCTGTCCCCCTACGGGGGGATTTTCGATGGAAAAAAAGACCCCCAAAATAATCAAAAAAAAAAATATCCTGGCGAAGGACCCAACCATATGCAATTGTGAATACTGCAATTGTGAATATCTTCTCGGTGGAGCCCCCTACGGGCCACGAAACGTACGAGGGGTGTGCCGAAATGCGAATGCGGGACGCATGCGGGCACACCCACTGGGACCTTCGGTGGAGCTCCCTATGGGGCCACGAAACGTGTGAGGGGTGTGCCGAAATGGGTGTGCGGGACGAATGCGGGCACACCCACTGGGACCTTCGGCGGAGCTCCCTATGGGGCCACGGAACGCGTGAGGGGTCAGGCTGCTGCCTGTTCGCCGAATGGGTGTGGGTGACGCATGCGGGCGCGGGCACTGGGGCCTTCGGTGGAGCTCCCTATGGAGCCACGAAACGTGTGAGGGGTGTGCCGAAATGGGTGTGGGTGACGCATGCGGGCGCGGGCACTAGGGCCTTCGGTGGAGCTCCCTATGGAGCCACGAAACGTGTGAGGGGTGTGCCGAAACAAATGGGTTGGCGACGCATTGGGCGCGCAGCCACGGGGGCCTTCGGTGGAGCTCCCTATGGGGCCACGAAACGATGTGAGGGGTAGTCGAGTAAACCCACACCTGTATGTGCCGAAATCTGGCGGTGGTGCGGTGGGCGCATGGAGGCGCAGCCCAGCACTGTGGCCTTCGCTGGAGCTCCCTAGGGCCACGAAACGTGTGAGGGCTGGTTGATTGTGCCGAAATCTGTGCGGTGGGGCGCAGGGGACTCCGAGCGCAGCCACTGGGGCCTCGGGTGGAGCTCCCTTTGTGGGCCACGAAACTTTGTTGAGGGGTTGTGCCGAATGTGGGCTCGCGTGGGCTCGCATGGCGGACGCGAAGCACTGGCGGCCTTCGCTGGAGCTTCCATATGGGGCCACGAAACGTGTGAGGGGTGTGCCGAAATCTGTGCGGTGTGGCGCATGGGAGCGCAGCCACTGGGGCCTTCGGTGGAGCTCCCTATGGGGCCACGAAACATGATGATGATGATGATGATGATGATGATGATGATGATGATGATGATGATGATGATGATGATGATGATGATGGTGATGGTGATGGTGATGATGATGATGATGGCAGGAGGGAGGGGGCAGCGGGAGGAGGAGTGAACGCGGGGCGCTGTCTCTTCAAAACGAGGACCCAACACCACAGGATAGTTGGGAATAACAAAAAACATCCCAGTGCGACCCTACCTAGGAGTTGGAGCATCTAGGAAAGCAACATCTACATCTACACCGACAGCGATGCTATGCTATGCTATGCTATGTTATGTTATGCTGCGCTATGCTGCGCTATGCTGCGCTATGCTATGATATGCTATGCTATGCTAGGGTATGCTAGGCTGCGCTACGGTATGCTAGGCTATGCAATGCTATTATATGCTGCGCTATGCTACGCTATGCTATGCTATGCGGCGATATGCTATGCTATGCTATGCTATGCTATGCTGCGCTATGCTATGCTGCGCTATGCTATGCTATGATATGATTTGCTGCGCTATGATATGCTATGCTATGATATGATATGCTGTGCTATGCTGCGCTAGGCTATGATACGCTATGCTGCGCTAGTATGTGCTATGCTATGCAGCCCTATGCTATGCTGCGCTATGATGTGCTATGATCTGATATGCTATGATATGCTATGATGCGCTAGTATGTGCTATGCTATGATGTGCTATGCTGCGCTATAATGTGCAATGCTATGCTATGCAGCACTATGCTAGGCTGCGCTAGTATGTGTTATGCTATGATATGCTATGCTGCGCTAGTACGTGCTATGTTATGCAGCACTATGCGATAGCCTATGCTATGCTGCGCTATGGTATGCTATGATATGCTGCGCTATGACACGCTATGCTATGCTGCGCTGTGCTATGCTAAGCTAAGCTAAGTTATGCTATACTATGCTGCGCTATGATATGTTATGCTATGCTATGCTATACTATGCTGCGCTATGCTACGCCGCGCTATGCTATGCTATGCTATGCTATGCTATGCTATGCTATGCTAATGCTGCGCTGCGCTAAGCTGAGCTAAGCTAAGCTAAGCTAGACAAAGCTAAGCTAACTAAGCTAGGCTAGGCTAAGCTAAGCTGAGCTAAGTTAAGCTAGGCTAAAGTAAGATGAGATAAGCAACGCTAAGCTAAGGGGACGCAACTGGGGGAACCGCGGGGCGGATGCCGGGGGAACCGCCCAGGGCGGTATCCACTGCCCGGCCCTTTAAGCATACACAGTAAGAACCCTTCTAGGCAGAGCCCAGGTAGGGAATAATAATAATACTAATAATAACAATAAAAAGAATAAAGGAACGTGACTGGGGGAACCGCGGGGCGAATACTGGGGGAACCGCCTTATTTTTTGAGTATTTTTGTTTGCCTTTTTGGGGCAGTTTGGGGGTATTTTCTTATTTTTCGTCGAAAAGCCCCCTGTAGGGGGACACGCCCGACATAACCCCCTCCCCCTCCCCTTCCGTTCGACCCACAGGGGGCGAGGCGGGGCCCAAGGCGGGCGCTCGCCTCGGACACCCCCGGCGCGTGCCCTGGGGCCGCCGGTGGCGAGGGCGCTGGCCCGCTCGAGCCGAGGGTGGGGGGGGGCAAGTTGGGCCCTCCCGAGCCTCGGTCCTCCTCCTCCTCCCCCTCCCCTCCTCCTCCTCCTGCGGTCCTCGGTCCTCTTTGGTGCTTCTCCCCCTCCTCAGGTCCTCGATGCTCCTCCGAAGCCAGCTGCGTGCAGGAGACGTCGTGCCGTACCTTCCCCCCCTTCCCCCCCCTTTTTTCCGCATCCCCCCCTCGCCCTCGTCCGACCCGAAGAACAAGAGAACGAGGTGGCGGAAGATAGGGGGGGCGGGGAGCTGAACGGAGCTGGCGCTCCTGCAGCAGGAGGCCGCCCCGAGCGACGGGGGACAGGCGTGCAGCGTCGCAGCGCATGGTAGGGCTTCTCGAGGAAACCTCTTTGGAAATGCTGGATGTTATCGTCTGCGGGGGTGGTGTGCAGTTTCTCGGGCGTGGTTCCAATTCCAGTCACCATCCGCGGAAGCGGGTTCGTGTACTGCCCCCTTGGGCCTAGATCGGATCATGAAGGCTTTATCACTTCACGGCGCTAGAGCTAGAACGGTCACATCTGCAAATTCATACATCGACTCGCCAACACGCTTAGACACACACGCACACACACATATACATTCAGGGTGACAGCTCGGCTGTGCCGCGCTCCTCCTTATTTCACTGGGTGTTATAGCTCGGAACTGCAGTGGAGGTCAGTCCACAAGAAACCTTCCACAAGAAACCCAACCCTCAGACCCCAGGACGTCCATTGATTTTTGGTGTGGGAGCGTCACGCTTTCCATCGCAGAACCATCCAAACCCAAGAGGCCCAGGGCACCCTGGAGGCAAGCAGGGCGGTTCTTGGCATGGGCCCCCACTGTACCTCACAGCCCATGTTACGCACATTGTTCTGCAACTCCAGCGCAGCTTGGGTTGGTGCTGGTGCCCTCGGGCTCCCCAAACGAACCTCTGGGGCCAGCACCTCGACGCCGGGCTGGCCCCTCGCGCCGGCGAGCACAAGCGAGGGATCAACCACCCTGCCAACCACAGCGTGACAGTTCTGCTGCCTGGTATGGATACGGCGCCTCAGCACCAACTCACTCACGTACGACCTGTGATCATAGAAGGCAGGATATCCCCCCCCATAATAATCACCCCAGCACGAGAAGCCGTTTCGTAAATGCACCCACGGAACGAATCGAACAGGGCAGGGCTGTTTACTAAACGCGCCAGGGCCGGTGGTAAACAACAATTATCGGGTCCAGGTGTTTTTTTCCTCCATTGGGATCCGGTCCTTCATCAGATGAGCCTTCGGTAGAAGCCGAGATTCTCGCACTCCTTGCGTAGCTCGACTGCGGACCACCCCCAACAGGACTCCATAGGCACGATCTACGTGTGGCGGCTGGCGATGGCGGGGTTCTCCTCCATGATTGCTGGCAGAGGCCAGCTGCTCC